TTTTAGTGCGTTTAACATTGCTTGGCAATCTCTTTTGCGGTGGTCTTCATCTCCGCAGTATATACATGCTTTATCATTCCACGTTCGCTTTGGGCTAGGGTCGGTTTTGTCGCGCATGGTCCGGACAGGGGTTTCCTCCTTTCTCTGGTAATTACTTTGCAATCTCTCTACTGCCGCCTTTAGTACTTCTATCTGTCTTGCGATCTCCTTTTCTCGTCTGTCTGGTCTTTTTGCTTCTATCTCATATTTTGGCTTCCACCTGTTATCCTTTGTATTTGACCACTTGGAGGTTCCCCATTCCACGTCATTTCTTTTCCAGTCACTCCTGTTTCCTTTCCTCCATTCGCCCTCGTTTTTGGTTGTGTCCCCTCTTCTAGGTGAGCTCGCGTAGGTGTCCCTTCCTTCGGTTCTGGGTCTCCTATCCTCGAATTGCGATTTTCCTCCTCCTTTTTCTGTGGTTACGCCTTTTCCTAGATTGTCAAGAACCCTCGCGAGGTGTGCTTTCGCGCTTTGGCCTTCGGTGTCATAGGTTAAAGCTTTGACTTGACTGAACGTTACCTTAGAGGGAAGATCCCTCATAATCTTGTCTCGCTTTTCTCGAGACAGAAATCCTAGGAATATTCCGCACCTTTCTATTTCGCCCATAAATCCACCTTCTACTAGAGGAATCGAAGTCTTCTCATATCTCCTTGCGAACGCTACTAGACTCTCGTCCTCCTGTTTTTTCATTTCTTTTAGATCTTCTATTGAATAGGATGTTTCATTCCATGTGAAGATTCTTGTAATCCTTTCTTTGAATATTAGCCAACGCCAACTGTCCGGAATGGCTTCTCTGACTTCGCGATCCATCTTGGGGGCTGTGTGGTGGAGTAAATTTATAATCATCTCCTGATCGCTCCATTCCGCTCTCATCCCCAGTACCTCCCAGTCGTCTAGAAATTCTGAAACATTCTTCCCTGTGAAGATTGTTTGGATTCCGGACAGTGCCGGTAATTGGAAGGCTTGTGCTCCCAGGAAGGGGGATACGTAGGAGCCTGGTGTGTATGTCATTCTGTAAGGTTGGCTCGTGGTTTCCTTATATGGTTCCCTTGTACCGGGATCCGAGAATCCGACTACTCTATTTCTGTTTAGAACGTCTTTCCTCCACCCTTCACTCTTGGAAGTGCGTTCCTCGAGTTCTGTGGCTGTAGTTTCTAACTCTTTTAGGGCCTTCCTCAATTTTTCGGCGTCCTTTGTGACATCAGTTGTCATTTTCCTAACTGGGGTGCTCGTCCTTGATTCTTGTGTTTTAACTTCGCCGCCTATCGAAGATAGATAGACTCCTTCCGCATCCATTTTTTTTTTTTTTTTTTTT